GGGGGGGGGGGGGATATGGGACTTAAAGGAAAATCTCAACAAGTCTTCCAAGAGTTTCAGGAGTCTAGTCATCTGGTACCCCAGGAAAAAGGTGAGTGTGCCGCAGCACTCTGGATTTGGACATGCTCCTGAAGGCTGCTATCCCCACCGGCAATGGTGGCATGGCCCCTGGCCAAGGCAAGAGGCTGGCGACTTTCCATTTTCAATTGCAAGGCTCAGACAGTATTACAACTCTTTTGGTATCCAGTATAGCAAGGGGCTTAGTGTCTCCATGTCTTAGAATTTACTCATCTGAATATTAAGATCCCGGGCATTGTGGCTTCAGTGAATGAACTTCAGTAGCTTAAACAAACACACACGTGTCCATTAGGTTAACAGGTATCTGTGAATACTCAAGACATCTTGACTGGACATTTCCTTAGGGACTCAGTATTCATGTCAATGATATTAAAGTGGCCGCTAAGGGTGTTTATAAGAAGGGATAATTAAATCTTTATTATATCATATTCTGTCTTGGGAATTGCTAACATCTATACAGTAAACAAAAGGATGCAAACATGACTGAGTGTCAGGAATGAGATGACAAGCAGTGTTCATAATTGGAGTCACCTAGTGCTCAAAGGGTTGGAGCCCCAGAAGATACTGTCCACCCAAAGCATAGGGAGGAGGGCTCAGGCAGCAGTAATTTTCTAACTTTCCAGTCACTCTCATGTGTAGTTATGTTGAGAAGCGCTATGTTAAATCCCCCCCCCCCCCATGCCAGTTAGTAATTAAATGGATAAAATCACCATTATTTGTTCTTTATCTGACTTCACAACTGAATTACACTAAACCATACCCCACTTAGAGCCTGTTTAATGCTAAATCTACTAAGGTGGGCTCTCAATCCAAGATGCACATTCAATCACTGGTGCATTTTTAAAGATGCAAAGATCAGAGAACAGAGTTAGACGCTGAGATTCAGAGGTCTATGATGGGCTCCAAGACACATGTGTTTATTAAATGTTCCAAAGGCAATTCTGATGAGTCAGCACTGAAAACCCTGGGATCAGTGCTGTGGTTCATGACCAGGGTCAATTCTGCCTCCCATGGGACCCGATTTGGCAACAGCTGAAGACATTTTTCTGTGGAACACAGTGGGGAAGCGGGGAGGATGCTACAGGCATCTATGAGTAAAGGCCAGGGATGCTGTTCAACGTCCTACAGTGCACAGGACTGTCTCCCCCACCACAATGAATTAATCAGCCCAAAATGTCAATAGTGTGGCTCTGGAGAAACTCTTACTAACGATCACATTTATCACACCTGCTACTTAAAACGTGCCGGTTAAGTCTGTATTTATATCGGGATCTTCAGAAATTATAAATTTATTTTTGCAGTGAATACAAAGACAAATTAAGACAAACAAAAATAGCTCAGACACTGGAATAGCCCACCCCGTTCTATTTTGATTTGTGAACTAAAATTGCACAGACACTGATGATTAATTAACGTGCTGACAGCCTCATTTATGTAGCATTTTGACAGCATTTACTCACACTTCATCGGCATGTTTTAAATGCCGTTTGGTACAATTAGCGATTGTTAAAAAGCTAACTTGTAGGAATGTAGGATTATTCATATCTCAGGTAGTTTTAACATTTCTTTGTCTTTTGAAAGTTGATTTCATGATATAAAACTAGAAGTTTGAGAGTAATGTGATATGCAAAAGTTTATACACTCATCTCTGTTGTCCCCCCGCGCCCCCCAACACCTGTGGTTTGAGTAGCTTGAAGCAATCAATTTCTACTCATGGCTAATCAAGAGTCAAGTGTAGTTCTAGGCTGGGCTTAGAGGCCCTGTCTTGGAAATGTTGGATTCATACAAGAGGACCAAGATGTACTTCAGAGAGAAAGCATTAACAGCTCTCACTGCTGTTATCAGTCACTGCTTAGTCCTTCGGGCTTCTTTACTGTCTAAGGTGCTTAATCTGTGCGAATACAACAAACCTTGCTATCGATCTCACTGCTCCCCAGCGCAGACTGGATGACGTAGAGCAGGGCATCGGTGAGCCCCTCACATTCCCGCATCCTCCTGCGGGCCTCCTCGCCAGCTGAACTCACATTCCTGCAAAGCAAAAGGACCTGTTAGCAACCTTCAGGGTGATCACCAAAAGAATGCTCTTCCACACACGCCTCCTCTCCTAGTTTCAAAGGAAATGCTTTGCTTGCCTTTTTCAGAATGTTTATCAAAAATGAAGTTTTATTGAGTAGGGATGGCTTCAACCACCTCTACTAATTCAGCAAATCCATCCTAAAACTGAGGAAGTCACAGATAGCTGTAATGCAACTAGAGAAATGGAGAACATAGAATTCAAACATGTGATCCGTGAGCGTGCCATGACCACTGAGGATGGGAGACTTTCGGAAAGTCTTCAAAGTTTCCTTCCTTTACCATCGATGAAGGAATCAGAGCTCTTTGATTCAAAGGACTCTTCTTCTTTAAGAAGTGTGAAACATTTTTCAAAGACAGACCTTCCAACTTACTAAAATACTTCTGAGAGCTAATTTTACCTGCCTCAAAAATATACCTACATTGGTCCAGCCAGAGTAAATTAGAAATTTATTCTAAGAACATAGCGAGGGGTTTCTGTGAAAATTTAGCCATGGGGGTGCCCATGGCCCCCTGTAGAGGCAGGAATTAACCAAACTCCTTGGACTGGCACATGCTGGGCTAGAGCCCACAGAAGGAGCCGGCTGCAATGCAATGCACAGGTGGGAAGCAGAGAGATATAAAAACCATGAGACAATCCTAGTCACCAGACCTATAAAAAGCAGGAGATAACCCTAGTCAAAGATGCACATTTGGGATGCTTTTTCATACTCCACCATCTGAAAGTATGTTCTTGGTCTCCTAACCATGGAGAGGATTGGGTTCCAGTTAAGAATTTTTGCAGCGACTGACTTACCAACAACACAGCCTGTGGGAGGGATGGTGAGGAGGTGGGTTTATAGAAAGAGGTTCAAAGGGACTGAAAGATTTTAGAAGCTGTGGGGAAGAGAGAGAATGATCTGGGCTGAGCAATGGCTCTCAAAAGTTGACTGGTATCAGAAGCCCCTGGAGGGTGTTCAGGTAGATTGTTGGACCCCACCCTGAGGTCTCTGGTGGAGTCGATCTGAAGATACTTTCTCCATTTTGGAGAAAGTGTCTTCAGTTGCATATTTGGGGGTATTGGTGCTGATAATTTCTACTGCTCTAGCTCTAACCTAGGGGGAGAGTTTATTGGGGGAGGATATTGTTTTTGCTGACAGCACCAGGCAGCCACCTGGTAGTTCCCAAGAATCTGTGGCCTGGGACAGAGCCCGCAAAAGTTGAATAGGGTACATCTCCACACCCACACTGTAATTGACACATACATCCTCATTTCATTTTCACAACATACTTCATTGTGACACTTTATTCTATTTTACATATGAGAAAACTGAGGCTCAAAGCAGTTATCAAAAGCCACATGGGTGGCAAGTGGAGAAGCTGAAAGAAAGCCAGGGCTTGATGCGCAATATAGATGGACTATGCTTTTCAGGAATTGAAATAAAATAAAATAGGCCTAATGCTAAAATGCTACTGAACATAAGTGTTTTCTTTGATATCTAAAAAGTTCTGTGGAACATGTATTAAATAGGATCTACCAGCATTTTAATGTAATACTGGGAAAGGTTATTCAATTCAAATTAGTATTTTTGGCATTTGCTGATCTTAAAATATAAACAAAATTCCTCGGTTCCTTAGATAATACAACTGAACAGATATTGACAGTGTTTTTATGTAAAGTGTTATGGATTCTGCTTTGCGATGGCAAACTGTCCTTTCTGACAAGATCCCTTGGAAAAAAAAGAACTAACTTCCTACTAGGGAAAAAGTCGTGAGAGCATACTGGAATTACTCTAAACCAGAAGCATGGGCTTTGTAAAGAGATCACTTTTAGACCATTCCTCCATGAAGAGATTTTCATCAGGTCAAGCTCTGAGGCCTTTACAGTGATAGGTTTGTTCAAAAATTCCAATCAGACCTCTTTGGCCAGAAGACTGCTGTGGCAATGTGTAATTGTGTTTGAAATCTTGCCTCTTTGTCCCTGAGGAGTCGTGTCTTCAAAGAGAGAATGATGGAATTTAGACTTTAGAGAACCTTAGGACAGCTCATGTACACCCTGGTCTGAAATCCTCTGTACTCTTCCTGTACCCATGAACACCCCTTTCCTTTCAATAAGTTCACCAAGGGGACAGTGAATGCCTCCTGATTCACAAATAAATTTTATAATGTTTAGTCCATCTTTTACTGGTAATCAATGAATGGGCAGGGAAAATCAATGAACCAATGGGAAAGATGAGGAATTAACGACTTTGTCAACATTATAAGTTGCCAATATTAATCTAAGCATTTTTCTTTATTCTAGTTTTTGTTTGATTCCAGTCTAGTCTAGTCTTCTCCAAAATTAAAAAAAGTTATTAACTTGCTACTCTATTAAAGCATTAAAGATATTGGAAAATGAGGAAGATTTATAAGTTAGGGTCTCTACAGGGGAAATGACTGGGGTGGACACACACACACATACCCCTCTGATACAGCAGGTAGGATGGAGTTACCACAGTGTCTGCAGGCAGGATGAAGATCAATATAAATTTTTAAACAGAGTGAAGTGTGCATATGTCTTTTTTTCAATGGGTTTCAGTGCCCTACAAGCCTTTGGGGATGGGTTTCTACTCTTAATCACCTATTCCTGAATGAGTGAGACATATGGTGAGTACCTTTGCTTTTTCGTTGTGGAGTAGAGGTGGGCTTTCTTTTTCTCCCCTTTCCCCCAAACACAAGATCTACCATGCTATGCATGCTTCACTGTTTAAAATTTCTATAAAGCCAATAACATCGTGTGCTGGTCACTGTGCAGTTATTGTAATTTTGGTCCTACGTGTTTGACAATGAGCCAATGTCTAACTTAAAAAGTTCCATTCTCCCTTGTACATTAACCACCTTACACCTGTCTTGAGGAGGTGGTTTCCATGTCCAGCTAGAAACTGGCGCAGCAAAATTCTGTGCATTAATATAACATGAAAACAAATACTTGTAGGTTATTTATAAAGACTGCAATGAAGCTATAATATCTATTCCTTAGAAATAATCTTTATAATCTGTATTAAAATGTCAGTAGATATGTCATTTGGAAATTTCTGCTTAAAGTAGATTCTATATACATTTTTTTAAAGGAAAGAGGTGTTGCTTTTTTAAAAAAATACATTTTTATTGATTTCAGAGAAGAATGGAGAGGGAGAGAGAGATGGAAACATCAATGATGAGGGAGAGTCATTGATTGGCTGCTTCCTGCATGCCCCATACCGGGGATAAAGCCCACAGCCAGGGCATGTGGACATAACCGGGAATCGAACCGTGACCTTCAGAGGTCGACGCTCTACCACTGAGCCATGCCAGCTGGGAAATTCTATATACTTTTTATCTAACCGATAAAAAATAAAACATTTCTTTTACATTTACCATCAGCAAGGAAACAGAGACCTCAGTCCTACGTGAAGGAACCAGATTCTCCCAAGAGCTATTAGTAAGGAACACAGCCTGCTGACACCTCCATTTTAAACTGGTAAGACTGGTGTCTGACTTGGAACTGACAGAAACTGTAGCACAATACATTTGTCATGTTCTCAGTCACTAAGTCTGTGGTAATTTGTCACAGTAGCAAAAGAAAACAAATACAAAGCTTGTTTTACTCAAGGATAAGTGGGTTTTTTTTCAACATCGTCCCTAAATGTTTCATAAGCCACGCTTTCCTGGAAACTACTTAGCTACAGTGGGCTCATGAAAGATTTTAGAAGATATTTCTAGATGATCAAATAATTGTATTAACTTGATCAGGACCAAACTGGCACATATATAAGAAAATTAAAATTTTTCCTAGAGGCATGTGTGAAGAGGAGGCGGGTGGCTTATGACGCATCTTCCCCCAACTAAGCAAAGAACACTGGTGTGACGTGGTGATGCACTTGGCTGTATTTTGGCCCCTTGCTAATCTGATGAAGCCGTGTGAGTGCCTCCAAACGGGTGGCCATCACCTTGGTCTGGATTGCTCTCCTGACTGGCTAATATCTTGCCCCCCCGCCAGTCCTCTTTCAAGCAGAAGAGGCCCCTGAAAAGCTCAGTCTTCAGAGCTTCCCGTGAACAGAAAGTGCAGGGGTTGGGATTACATAATGTGGGAAGTGAGGATGCGGGATTCAAGGGAGAGGAATGAGGCAGTTTCCTAGCTCTGCTGGAGCGAAGTCTGTATTATGGCCTCATGACTTTAAGTGACTTTCTGAAACACCACCCATAAGGACCCCGTCCTGTGACCAGTAGTTAGATTAGCCACACCCCTGGAAACATTTATTGGGTACAAATAATGAAAGGCTGAATTTACTTGAAAAGCTCTCGACTTCTCTCTTGACATTTGTGTTTTTTAAATCTTTAATTTTTTGAAAAAGAATAGTTTAGGGGAGGCCAGGGGAATGTCAAGTCGGGCAAAAAAAGGAGACATATGTAATACTCTTTGTAATACTTTAAGCATTAAAACAAAATAATAAAAAAAGAATAGTTTATTTATTTTTACAGAGAGAGGAAAGGAGAAGAAGAGAGAAACATCAATCTGCGAGTGTAACATCAATCGGCTGCCTACTACACGCCCCTCCTGGGGATGGAGCCCACAACCTGGGCATGTGCCCTGATCTAGAATTTAACCGGCAACCTTGCGGTGCATGGGACAGCACCCAACCAACTGAGCCACACCAGCCAGGGCTCAACAGTTGTTTTTTTAAAAAACTGGTCCTTTATTACAGCCAATGCAGAAAAATTTCCCCTTCTTCCCTTTTCAAGATTAGCAGTCTTCCGTTTGAATTCTTGCTGTGCACCTTACTGTCTTTTCCCAAGGAAGGTAATTTCTTTATAAATCAGGACAGTGATGGCTTGGTAATTACTTTGCTGAGCTGCAGGGACAGAATGCTTCAGTGGCCTAAAGACCAGCTACCTCATTGGGCCGGAAGCGAACACTGCTGCATGCTGGCCTCCGATCGGTAGCTACGCCAGCCTGC